TTTTTTTTTTGTTTAACCGCCGAACTAAAGAGTTCGTTTTCTTACATTTAACGTACGCTACGGATACAAACATACAGTGATATATAATTTATGCGCAGGGCTGGGACTATTCGAATCATCCTTTACTAAAATATCCAATAATCCAACGCGCTGTGTGGCAGTAGACAGCGAGTAATCTCACGCGCATCCTCCTCGCGCACCACGCCTAATGGAGCCGCGGCTGTGACCCAGGATGCAAAGCTTTTACGAAACGAATCTACGCGCTTGCTGTATTCGAACGCTCGCAACTAAAAAACTTGGGCAAGTAGACCCAGCCCTACTTCGTCACCACAGCTGTCGAGCGCCGGGGAAAATTTCGCTCCATGGCGAGAAACGAAATCATTCGAACACATCGTCCATCGTGAACTCGGGAGTGGAGACAGGCAAAACTTTATTCGAGCAACAGATAGCGAATAAAACGCGTCAGTAATTCATTCGTGACGTTCGTCCTTCGTTTATTTATCGTGATATATTTCCATAATTCGAGTTCGAATTTTGTATTGTTCATCTAAACGAGAGTGAGGTCTCGTAGAGGATTATTCATGTAAGGGTTTTGCCCGTCTCCGGACCCACGAGGACGATTATTTACACGGCGAGGAGCGAAGAGACTTCTGCTTGCCGAATGATCGCGATCGTTTCGCGAGCGTCGATAAAATCATAAAAGTTTTTTTTTGCGTTTTATTTCGTTGTCAAACAAGAAGAACCCCCGAACGGTGATTATTAATGATTAGAGGTAAATTGACCACGAGAGAAATCAGACGAATGGACGATACAATGGCGACGTATAGGAAAATGGTAATAATACGTCTCTCGGTTACCACGGTACTGGAGAGCGAGTTAGAACGAGGTTTTCCCGAAAATAAAGTTTCCGGCTGTGGCTGGCTCGTCCGAGGAGAAATATTGCTTCCAGAGGTTGGCGAATTTCTCCCAGGTTATTTCCTGACCCTATGCAAATAGAAATTGCATTTCCAGTATTAGTGGGGCTCGCGCCGTAGGGTTTCGATCGTCTCGCGTGATTTACACTTACGACTCCCAGTTTTTTGAACGCCTCCTTGGCCTCGGCTTCCGGGACGCCGTGGTATCTGCACACGTTACAGAACTCGCTCTCGTCGATGGATTTGTCACCTGGCGAACATTAGCGATTGATCGACTTGAAGGGGAGAAACCGTATTAGGAGGTCAAATATTGACTGTTTTTTGTGATTTTATTTTCACAGAGAAAAATTTACTATTTTTAACTTTGACTTTCTTTCGCGCAGAAATGTTTGAGATATCAGCTGTTATGTCAGTTATGTGTACAAGGTATCGGTAGGAATTGTAGTGGTCACAATAAAACTTTTTTCGTACATTGTTGACATGTTTTCTGAGAATATGAACCAAACTGCGGTTAAAAAAGTTGAGAACTTGATTTTTTCAAAGTGCTTAGAGAAAAAGTATGAATTTTCATCCTCCTGTGCAGTAAAAACATAGTTTAAACAATAATATCATTCCAATTGTTCATATTTAAGGTATTCAAAGCTAAGGTAACCTAAGCGTTTGAAAACAATCGGACAATTACGTTTTGAGTCATCATTCCCACCAATTAAATAAACGTAATTTCGAAAGAAACGCGACGTTTCAAAGATTTCCGTGTAAAATGAATCTTAAAAGTGTCCAAACGAAATTTAAAATATACCTAAAATATTCTCAAAGTTAAAAAACAACATATCACAAGACACACTTAATACTTGAACTCCTAATGTGGGCTCTCCACAGTTGTCACACCTGGATTAGGGTTTTAAGGACCTCTGGACTACAGATGAGGCCCTCAGAAATATTTTTAAAATGGTGAAGATTGCCCATTTTGTCATTCTTAATTTGTTATTTACTGTACCCTATATATTACTCTTAAAAATGTTTTGATATAAAATTATACAGAAAAGTAACTGTTTTTAGGTAATTATTTTCTAGTATATTATATTTTAGAAGTATGTATGCTTCCCCATGGAGAAGTAATTATTTCAAATTATTTTTATTTGTAAATAAAAAGTTCTATCTCTGTCGACAATTTCACGTCACCGTTTCAAGTATAAGAAGTTTCAGTCACACACTGAAATCTTTTGTTTTCCCATCGTTTCGAAGAATCGAAAGCATAATAAACTTACCGGACGCATCGAACAACTGGAACATCAATGTCATGTATGTTTGTTGCCATTCGGATGGGTTCGATGGATCATTCGCGTATTCTTCCCAGAGTGAATACCATTCCTCTCGACTAACCTGAAAAACGTAGAGAAAAATAAGAATTTTGGAACGGAAGGATGATTCAGACATTCTTTTACACCACATGGAGCCACATAAATATAATAACAAGCGTGTAGAAATATTTCTTTAGGTTTTATGGAATTAGAAATTAAATCTTTCTTTCTTTTAATTTTCTTTAAGGATTGCATTCAAAGATTATATTCTTACTTGTCCATCTTGATCGGCGTCAGCCCTTTGCCTCAAACCGTCCCACATTTTGAGCAAATTGTCCCTCGTGCTTTGAACTTTGGGATTGTCAGGAGTCCAGCCTCTGCATTCGCTGATTCGCTAATAGCAGAAATAAAAAATCACCCATAGACAATATTTCAAAAGTGAAGTCCATTAATAAAATTCCGATATCATTTTCGCCAATAAAATTCTCTATATTATCATCAAAATTGCCTAAAGTTCTCGATAAAGTTCTCAATAGAGCTTTATAATTAATTACTTTCATTTAATGAAAAGTTCGATCTTAATTAAGAACAAGGAGTTAGATGCTTACTTGGACAGCAAGGTCGAGATCCTTCTTATCGATCGCGCCACTCTGATTGCAATCTATAACATTACAAAATTAATGAGAAACCACTGATGTGGAATACTGAGCTCCTATTTTGAGGGGGAGTAGGCATATTTGTGCAGTTTAAATAATTTGGTCACGTTAATAATTCATTAATGAAGAGAATAGAAACAAGAATAGAAACAAATCCATTCAAAATCTTTGACTATATACTTATGGACTGCTAACGGCAGCCATTATGCGTCCCAAGACCGGTAGCGACACCATGTCCCAAAAGTGGCCAAGCTAAGAACTTAATAACCTCATAACCACTCATAACTGGGTGATTGGTACTCATTGGACCACACGATTGGAGTAAGTTAAAGAAATATAAGATATAAAGTGCAAGAATTGAAACAATGGTTCGTTATTGTTTTGTAGAATTATGTAAAAACACAAGATATAAAGCAAAAGAAGTAAGTGATTCGAAATGTGAATCATTGTATATGTAACTTGTAAATTTGTATTAACCTAACCTCAAAAACTAGTTTATCTTGTACTTATTACTTATTATACAGTTTTATAGGTTTTCTGCCTTACATTCATATTTAATTTGTATATATTATTATTTTTAATCAACATGATTACTGCTTTTAATCATTAACCATTTAACTGTACCATCAAGTAAAAATAAACATTTATACGTTTCAGGTTTCCAAGCAATCTTCAACTTCAAGATGAATGGGTCCAAGCTTTACTCCCTTTGAATGCCCAGAACAGTGCTTTAAGCTTGCCAAAAATGGCATCGATATATGCAGAGCATTTTGATAAAAAATGTTTTTCAAAAAACGACCATTTGTGTCATCAGAAATTTAAATATTGAAAGTTTATTTCAAAATTTTGAATGCCCACATTAAAGACAACGATTCGTTAGACAACCATCAATACGAAATGATTGAAACAATTATTGAATTATACTTAAAAGTATAATTATATTCTATTGGCAAAAAAAATGCAAGAGAATCTCATATAAAATACATATGACAACACTTAACGAAATCAGTATTGTTTAGAGGACAATAATAAAATATTATTTATAATATTTTATAACAAAGTTTTTTTTATATTATTTTAAATAATATTTAATAGTCGTTCTGTTATTCTCTTGTATGTTCAGGTATATTTCATTACATCATATATAGATTTACATAAATTATTATAATATATTTCATCGTGAAAAAATTGTTCTTGTAGAATCAGTTTAAAGCAATTTAAATTTTTCCCGCGTTTTGGGATATGGTAGCGCTACAGATCTTGGATCGCGACCTTATACATTGCTTAGATAGGAAAAGTCAAAGTTCAAAATAGCCACGAAATAACCTGACACTTGCAAGTCTCGTAAAACAGTTTAATAAGATTGCTCTCAAAAGTTCGTTTCGCGATTTGCACTTATTAAGATTGAAAATCTTTTTAATTTCGAACAGCCGACATTCATGTCCCGTACTTGATTGTACTTAGATGATAATGAAAGAAACTTTTGGAACAACCAAATATAATGGAACGCTGGGGCTGCAGCCAAGTAGCCTCAATCGCTTAGGGATTGAAAAAACTAGCTGAACGAGGAAGAAGTAGGTTTTCGTGAGCCAGAATTAATCCAGCTGCGGTAGTAACTGCTGACGATGTTAACAAATAAGAAAAATCCACAACCTTGATTCGGACTCACACTTCAAAAATTTTACGTCGAAGTAAACCCACTCTAAATAGCCTAAACACCCTAACACTTGGAAATCTGGTCTCGTGGACATTAAATATCCACAATCTTTATTCGGATTCATGCTTTAAAAATCTTAAATTGAAATAAATCCACTCTAAACAGCCCAAACATCCTAACACTCCACGACCCCCATAACCTCAAATTCAAGCAAACCTACTATAAATAGCCTAAACACCCTAACACTTGGAAATATTATTCGATAGACCTTAAAAATCCACAACTTTCATTTGGATTCACATCCCCAAAACCTCAAACTGAAGTAAATCCACTTTAAACAGTCCAAACATCCTAACCCCCCCCCCATAATTCACGCTTAAACAAATCTTAAATTGAAATAAATTTATGCTAAACAGCCTAAAATTCTACATTCCTCTTAATACATGATTGCATTCCAAGTATTTCGATCGTTCCCACGCATAGTGGAATCTTTAACAAAGAATTCTCACTAGATTCACTTCAGTCCATACATGCAAAGAGGTAGACTAAAATTTCCACACAAAAAAATAAAAATAAAAAAAATATACATGTCGAATTGCGTAAACTCCTCCTTTTCGAAGTTGATTAAAAATCGATGCCCAATGCTTTGACTCGACTACCATAAACGTGCATCGCAACTAACGGTAGCCATTGATCAAACAGAAAGAAAAAACCCTAACCCAGAAACCGGCCTTCACTTCGTGGCGTTAATAACCAGGAAGCCCATGAATTCCGGAAGGTTCCGATGCTATTCGACACCTGAAAGAAGCAAAGGTCTCTCCTGCGAAATTGGAACGGCTAGCGAAAACTAATGACGTCCAATTCAAACGGCGACAACCCCGCCGCGGACGATGAATAGCAAGATCGACAAGAGCTCGTACTTTCCGCGGGTCTACCTTGAAATCCCAGCCCAGGGTTAGGTCTGGGTTCTCTTTGGACCCAGGCCAAAACTCCGAGCCTCCGGCATCCCACTCCTGTTTCACGCCTATATTTCATTACATCGATTCCTTGTCGCGTGTTTTGCCTACATGATCGTGGCACCCCCATTCCCAGGGACGCTTTCCCCCGAAACACGAGACTCCGTCGAACAGGGGTTTTGTTTCGATCATCGAGCCGCGTTGGACGATAAGCGGGCCGGATTCAACATCACCTGAAACGAGGCGTTGGCGTTAACGTCCCGCGGACTTAATGCGACGATGGTTCTGACGCCAGAAACGACGCGATGTTAAACGTTCAACGCTTTATCTCTCGGATCACACTTTTTCCTTTGGGTCCGTGCCAGACACCTACTTCTTTCTCACTTAGCTGTCTTTTCAATCCCTGGGTGGTCGAGGCTGCTCGGTTCCGAGTCTCAACGTTCCATTATACGCCAACCGAACGAGATTTTCAAGCGTTGGGGTGTTTAGAATGTTTAGAGGAGGTTTGATCGAATTTGAGGTTATGGAGGCGTAGGATGTTAGGGTGTTTGGGCTCTTTAGGAATGGGTTAGGGAATATCTTATCGTTCACAGAACAAGATTTTAAGGTGCTTTGGCTGTTTAGAGAGGGTTTGCTTCAGTTTGAGGTTTTGGGAGCGTGAATCCAAATGAAATTTGTGGATTTTTAAGGTCTATCGAATAATATTTCCAAGTGTTGAGGTGTTTAGTCTGTTTAGAGTAGGTTTGCTTGAATTTGAAATTATGGGGGCGTGGTTTTAGCTATTTAGAGTGGGTTTTCTTCAGTTTGGGATTTCGAGGGCGTGAATTCAAATGAAAGTTATAGATTTTCCCAATTTGTCAGCTTCTGGCTGAATTCGAACATACGAAAATCTACTTTTTCCTCTCTCAGCTGTTTTTTCTTCCTGTGCGATTAAGGCTTCTTGGCTAGAGCTTTAGCGTTCCATTATAAACTAATTAAACGAAACTTGCAAATAATATATAGTTTCACAGCTGTTTAGGATGAATTTACTTCACTTGGTTGAGCAACACTACCCAATTTGAACTTGTAATTTATTGGATTGTCCAGAAAGTTCGTGTCAAGTTTTAGGAATAGGAAAAACTCAAAGACACATTTGAATTTTGATACACTGAACCAATTTTGATTTATTGAACCATTCCGATATATTCAGTCCTGTGTCACCTACCAGATTTCCAATTATTAGTGCGTTAGTAGTGCGTGAGTAGTATATCTCATTGTTATTGTTTTTTTTAAAAACAACGTAGCAATATGTATATTTGACTAGGTCCAATTCTGATAATATCGACGAGGGAATTCGTAAGTTTGCTTTCACCTTTCATTTAATTTTCTCCGCTGGTTCCCGAGCTATCATTTTAGGGCAGTATCGTGTTAAACGGTGATTACGATGTCACGATACGGAATTCATCATTCCGACGGCGGGGACAATTTTTACCGAAACGTTGACTGAAATAATTCATTGGCCAAACGATTCGAAGCATGCCAGGCGTTTCTCGTCATCGCCCTGGGGAAAATATAGGGGACGTATATCACATCATGCATTGATTACGTGCCACGTGTATTATGCCATCCCGTTTTTCGATGGTAGTACGAAGCGAATGCTGTAGGAAGCTCTGACAAATTGGGCACCCCATAGAAATTTACCGCAATTCTACGTGTTTAGTGTTGGCGTCGGTTTTATAGGAAACTTATGAGTAGATCGCGGATTTTATGGATTCATGACGTACAACATGGAGAATATACAAAATGTACAAAAAACGTTTGTTGAATATATTCTCCAATTAATATAATAATCATTTCGTTTTTCACAACTGCGCACAAGTTTTGGTTATATTTAACATGTATTTATTGTATTATTTCGCGTTATAAATGCATAAAACTTGCATTATATTTATGAGATATGAGATATTCTTGTATATAAACAACAAATCACAACAGTGTGCCTTTACAAGGTGAATTTTCTTTCTCAATTTCTTTAGACTTCTTTTTAAATATTGTCTAATAATTCTTTTATAAACATTCATATTTATTTCTAAAATATAGAAGAATTGTATTATCAAAATTAATTTAATTTATATATTATAACAATTTCTTTGAACCATTTGAATCCAGAACATTTATTTGCACGTTTTGCTTGGGACTGCTGAAAAACAACAAGCTGTTGTTTCAAACGTGCCTTGTATCCGCGCGACACTTTATTTTAAATTGCACCTGCTTCACCATTTCTAGGCGGAATGGTTCCATTAAGCGAAGTCAACTTCAGATAAGACACCAGGTTCTTTCTAATCCTATTTGTTTCTCTCAACGCTTTACTTTAAATTGCGACTAACACTACAAGTTCGGACCAAGAGTTTACAAAAATGAGACTCATCACAGACGAGGCCATTTTCTATTCCTTAAAATTTAGTTTCGTTAATTCGATGTTTATTTTAGGCTGAAAAAGATTGAAGAAAGACTGGGGTCTCAACTGATCCTAGATTGTTTCGATCTCATTCTTTTGTATGTTTAATAATATCTATCTCATCAGGAGATGTAGTGTATTTATTTATTTATAACAAATTTGAATATGCAAGAAACTACCAACTGCACACACTATGCAATAATATAAAGAAATATTCTTTCCATTTGATTCTTCTCTATATTTAATAATATCTCATCAGTAGACGTAGTACATTTAATATTTATAAGAAATTTGAATATGCAAGAAGCTGCCAAGTGCACCCAGTATGCAATAATATAAAGAAATATCGAAAATAAAATTCATATTATAATATTTTCAAAGTAAAATAAGTTCCTATCTAAGTTTGCAAATATTTTATTTTGCATAAAGATCCGCGGTCTACTTATCAGCACGGCACATAATTACGTTAAAAATGAAACGTAACAAGAGATGTACATACTACAAAGTATCGCCTAACGAGATTGTTACAGCGATAGCCTATAGTGTTCCCCACGTGCTCGTCATATCAAATTGTTCAAAACTCCTCGGCCTTGAGGCGACCCCAAAAAGGTCCCGAAGTTGTCCCAATGGAACCACTCCGGGAAAGTCACTCATCAGAAGCTGAAATCTAAATCACCGAGCCTCGGAACACTTTTTCCCCAACTATTCGATTCCCCCGCATCGCAAAGCGTTCCTTTAATCACGTCGTCCAGGCCCCAACAACAAAACCACATCAAGCCCCTGCCCGAAGGCTCGTATTCGCCACATCGTCCTCGGTGTTCTCTGGGTCACGGTGAAATCTCGTATCGACTTCGAAGAACAGCCTCGTAGGTTATGTTTAGCCGTCGATCGACGGTCAAAGAAGGGAAGAAAGTAAGGGGCTAATGAGCGTCGCGAAGCGTGTACACGCCTGCGACCTCCAGGCTCCAACACCAGCAACCTTGCTCACACGACCAATCCGCGCACATCCTCCCAGTTCCCCAAGCGGCGCACGTGTCCAACCGTCGGAACTCCGTTCGCAAGTTTTCGCACGCTAATTGTTACGTTTCTGGCTGCCGACGCGATACTTTTGCCGGGTGACGCGACATTCGCCGGCATGAACGGCGAGAGGCGGCGACATCGAGATGCAACGTCGCGTCCAAACTTGTATGAATGATTGCCTCGATGCACGGATACCAACACAGGGAACTGTGTAATTTCAACGCGACGAGGCATACCCTGAACCGCGCGTCCATTGTTTATCTTCTCCCTTGCCATAAATAGGTGTTCGGGCTGGCTTGGTTTCGCCATATCCAGGCCGAGACGCGCATAAGTGCCGTACAGGGACCTGGCGAAACGTCCCTGCGCAGGGATGTTGCCCTCGACCCTTAAAAATACGAGGGTGCCGACCGCGACGTAATTAATTCAGAAGATAATAAATTTGGAAAATTCACGGGTTCCATTCACTTCTATTCTATTCGAATTAAAGTAAAAGTGTTTTAAACAACGCTCTGACACTTGGAAATCTCGTTCGGTTGATGAAAATCCAAATTTTCTATTCGAAATCACAGCTGCAAAATCTTAAATTGAAGAAAATTCTCTCTAAACAGCGTAAACATTTGGAAATATTGTTCGATTGATCATAAAAATCCACAATTTCCATTCGAATTCACGTCTCCAAAATCTCAAATTGAAGTAAACCCACTCTGAACAGCCTAAACATCCTAAAATCCTACGCTCTCATAATTTAAAATTCAAGCAAACCTACTGTAAATAGACTAAACATCTCAACACTTGGAAATGCCGTACGATTGACCTTAGAAGTCCACAACTTTCATTTGGATTCACATCCCAAAAACCTCAAACTGAAGTAAGCCCACTTTAAACAGCCTAAACATCCTAAAACCCTACGCCGCCATAACCTCAAATTCAGGCAAACCTACTATAAACACGCAAAATACCTCAACACTTGGAAATGTTGTACGATTGACCTCAAAAATCCATAAATTCCTTTCGAATTCACATCTTGAAAATCTCAAATTAAAGTAAAATTGCTTTAAACAGCCTTAACGTTAACAGTTGGGCTCCAGCCAAGTAGCTTTAATCAATCAGGGATTGAATGAAAAAAAAAATTGAGTGAGGAAGAAGTAGATATTCATAACGAGAAATTATTGATGTGGACCATCAAACTACTGTTATGAAGGGAAATTAGGAATATTTGCATAGTTTAATTAATATGGACAAATTAATAACTCGTTAACGGAGTTAATATTGGATTGTCTGGGAAGTCCATATCGATTTTTGGTAGATGGTACAGGTCTAAATATATCGAAATTGTTCGAAATAAATGACATATACTGGGTGACCCAGAATTTCTGTAAGAACCGGAACTGGGGGATAGCTGAGACGATTCTGAACCAGAAGTTCCTTTGCAAAAATGACGGTGGGGGGCTCCATTTTTTAATCATTAACGAAAAACACCAACTAACCGCTTCAACACATCAATCACCCCTAAAATCTTGTTTTGGGAATATTAAAAATCCCCTAAATCAGACCTAACCTACTTTAAACAGTCTAAACACCCTAGCACATGAACATTTCCTTCTGTTGGCGTTAAAAACGCACAAGTTCCATTTGAATTCATTCGTTCAAAATTCAAACAAACCTACTATAAACAGCCCAAGCACCCTAAAATCTCGTTCTGTGAGTATTAAAATCCACCTAACTTAGATCTAACCTACTTTAAACAGTCCAAACACCCTAAAATCTTGTTCTGTGAACATTAAAATCCACCTAATCTAGACCTAACTTACTTTAAACATTCTAACACTTGAAAATCTCTTTCTGTAACCGCTAAAAAACCTCCAACTTCCATTCAAATTCACACCTCCAAAACCTCAAAATCTCGCAAACCTATTCCAAACATCCCAAATATCCTAAAACCTCGTCCTGCGAACATTAAAAATCCCCAAATTTCGGAATCACGCTCCGAAACCCCTGGCGTCGTACATGGACCTATCGAGATGTCCCTGCGCAGCCCTGACGTCGCTCCTCAACCCCCAAAATCACCCTCCGTGGAGGGTGGCGACCGCCCCTCGACCAGCGACCGTATTTCATTTCGCTGGTAAGCTTTGTGGCCCCGGCATTCCAGCGATAGCCTCGAGAGGACCGCCAAGAGTAAGACCGTTATCCCCGATTCGAGAAAGATCCACGGAATGCGTTGGTAGCGGCGAAAGGGCAATCAGTTACCGGCTATTTCGTTCTCTGGCCGAGCGAGCCCTTCTCCGAGGGAGAAATATTGGCCCAGCCGTCGGCGATGGTTCAGTTTATCAGTATGAAGAGGTGGACGCGGCTCGAGGATCACCGAGCGTACTGTCCGTATAATTTCCCAGCGACTGTTAGGGGTCGTTAAGGATACGTGGTAACTGACGCGGAATTGGATTACTTGGAGCATTAACGCGGCCACTCTGAGCATCGGAGGTACGCGGAGGTGGGGGTACACGTGGAGGAGGCTCGCGTGAAAATACCACCGAGCTTGGAATAATGTGATCTTAACGTATTCAGCAGGCAGTGTTTTCTCGTCTCGTGGATAACACTGTAGAGGGCAGAAAAGGTCTTTGGATGGGGTATTGGTTAGGCAAATGGTTGTTATGAGGGTTAATTGGGATCTTGTCGGGGTCAGATGTAGGTAATGAATGCTTGTTTTGGATGGGAATAATTTATATTAGGTTGTCCCAAAAGTTTCTTTCGTAATTTGCAGTCAATTATTTTGTGCGGTAGTGTTTATATAAATAGACAATCTGATTTCTTAGATGTTGATGTTGTAACAATAATGGAGCAAAACGAATCGCACTCAATTCAATAATGTAACATTTGACATAAAATATTGTGTATGTATTACTCATTAATAAAACGAAAGAAACTTTTGGGACAACCTAATACTTCTGAATGCAGGTGGAAAGTCGCAGTTGGAGAGGTTCGATGGTGGTATTAGGCTAATGGTTGATAGATTCTAAAGGGTGTCCCAGAATTAGTGTGAAAACCGGAAATGGGGGTAACTGAGACGATTCTGAACCAGAAGTTCCTTTGCAAAAATGTCGATGAGGGCTTCATTTTTGAATTATTAACGATATACTCCGACAAATCACAGCGACCGATTAGTGCGTGGTCCAACAGCTCAAGCAGCCCAAAATCTTGTTTTGTGAACGTTAAAAATCCCCTAAATCAGACCTGACATACTTTAAACAGTCTAAACACCCTAAAATCTTGTTCTATGAACATTAAAATCCACATAATCTAAACATAACCTATTTTACACCGTCCAAACACCCTACAATCTTGTTCTATGAACGTTAAAATCCACTTAACCTACTTTAAACAGTCTAAAGACCCTAAAATCTTCTTCTATGAACATTAAAATCCTCCTCACACAAACATAACCTATTTTAAACAATCTAAACACCCCAAAATCTTCTTATATGATTGTTAAAATCCTATATCGGAATGGTTGAAAACAAATAAAATGGAAATGGGGGATAGCTGAAATAATTCTGAACGACAATTTCCTTTGTGAAAATATCGTACGGTGCTTTGTTTTTGAATTATTAACGAAAAACCATCGACCAATCACAGCGCCCGATTAATCCGCTCTTAGTCGCGAAAGAATAGACTCGAGCCAGGATTGGCTGGTCACCAGGTCGCGGCGTAGCCAATCACAGCGCCAGCTGAGCGCGCGCTATTCGAGGGCTGTGATTGGTCAGTGATTTTCCTCAATAATCCTCAGGTTAATTTGAAAACTAACACCTACGATGCGGTTAAGAATCAACGCTTAACAGGTGTATAATTTTCTTCGAGTTCTTCTAAAGACGACCAATTATTCGGTCGAGAAGATTGAACATTTTTGCACGTCTTTGACGACATCGAAGATTCTCATAGTCGACTAACCATTACTTTGATGTTTGAAATTTTTAGCGAAGCATATAGTAAATTGTCTAACGCAGATTTTTTACCATTTTGAAATATCAGAATATATTACTGTGTAGTGATCATCATTATAAATTATTTAAAAATAATTCTGTGTGAGTGTACATTCGTGTGATTGTACGCCATTGATAGTACTAGGGAAACAGATTTCAATGATCAAAACGGGAAACTCCCCTCGTTAGTTGAAGAATTTAAAAAATATATAAAACTCTCGAAAGATTACATTTTTTAATCTTTAGTCTAATTTCCAAAAATTCGTAGCTCTCTTAATAATGAACATTTCGACTTGAAACTTGTTTTCCTTGCAGGTGTCAAGTAACCCTACGACAAACATGCAGAAAGTTTTTCTCTAAAGAGAAACTCAATTTTTGAAAGATGAAAGGAAAATTTGTTTAAGAATTCGCAAGGATTTTTGGTAAAAATCTAAAATAGTACACGACGATGGTTCTTTACTCACCGAAAAAGGTGTTGAAGACGTAGAGTAACTTCTTCTTGCGGAACTCTGACAGTGACATCTTGTCAATCTGCAACAAAGGAAACACAAGAGGGTTGTTAAAGTTTGCCCGCACGTTCGCGTGTGCCGTGTCAGTATTCGTTCTCGATAGAATGGCGATCAGGGTCGATTGTCTCGAGCGACCGACCCTTATTTTATCTCGTCAGTAAAAAGTAATCGCAGCTTGCTTTTATCGAGCTGCTTTGTACGTCGCCTCGATATTTACAAGGCCGTCGTCAAGATACAAAATCAGCTTGGTTCGAATACAACAGTTGGTCAATGTTAAATTATTACTTTTCCGAAAACCTATCTATAGAACTATTAACGAATATCGAATATTTCTTCCAAACACGTACGAAGATATATACCAGTGTAAATGATCACTTTTTTTCATTATTAGTTATTTTTCTTTGGATTTTGTCATATACATGGAATTACATATTAACAAACATCCAATTTTTCTCAAAAAACGTACAGATAGACACAGGCGTAATCACTTCCTTTGGTCCTATTTATTTTTCTTTGATTTTTGTTACATGTGTGTATACAACTATTACCAAATATCTAATATTTTTTCTAAAAACATACACAGGCATCTACAAATGTAAATGATCACTTCTTTCATCCCTATTTATTTTTCATTGTCATTTGCTATGTATTATATACAACTAATACCAAATATGCAATATCTCTCTCAAAAGCGTACAGATGCATGGATGTTTCCATGTAAATGTAAAAAGCAAAACAGATTTACTCTAAATTCCCTGTATGACGTCAGTCCAGCGCCTGAAAGTATCAAACCATATTTTATCTTGACAAAAATCACCGTTTCCTTCACACTTTAAAAATTAACACATTTTCGATCGCTGAATTCACATCACTTCAAATTCTATTCCTGGTTATGAAAAAGTTGCGAAAATCTTTTTATTTTATACGCTACATATTTACAACATTGATATTTCGAAACATATTTTGTCATTTTTATCTTCGCCATAACGATACAAATTGTCCAGCTTCAAAATTGCAGCTCAAAGTTACAGTCAGTCCCGTGAGTATTCCTACCCCCTATATTTACTGAAGAAACTTGTCTAATTTAAATTAATGCTTCATGTTTCCAAATAAATTTGTAATTGTAAATATACAGGATATCTCATGCAACTGGAACAAGATGTACCTCTTAAACGGTTAGAAATAGAAAAGAACGATATGAGTGAAAGCTAAATGATTTCAGATGGCGCATAACATGTAATTAATTTTATGCACTTTTGTAACATGAGTGCATCAGAAAAATGCAACTCCACTTTTTTTTCTAAATGGAAACCTACTTTTCTGACGACACAGGTCGATGGAGTTTCTTGTGCTTTACAAAAAAGTATTGACATACTTATGCTCTAAACTTGTTCGTTAGGAAGTTATTGACAGGAATAGTGCGAATATCTTTTTACCATCAATAATTTTCTAACGAACAAGTTTAGGGCATAAGTATGTTAATACTTTTTTGTAGAGTACAAGAAACTGCATCGATCTGTGTCGTCAAAAATATAGATTTCCATTTAAAAAAGAAGCGCAGTCGCATTTTTCTGATGCACCGATGCACAAAAGTTTATTAAACTAGTTGCATGTTATACACCATCCGAAACCATTTAACTTTCACTCATAACATTCTTTTCTATTCTCAACCCTTTAGAAGATATAGTTGTGTGGTACACCCTGTATACAAAAGTAAAGTTTCATCGTCATTTGCTATGTATATACACAACTATTACCAAATATCCAATATCTCTTCCAAAAACGTCCAAATGTAAACAAACACTTCTTTCTAGTCCTATTTTACCTGCAGTTTTATCCACCTACTCAATAATTAATTTTGCTCCATCTCCCACAAGCTGCAATTTCGATAAAAAAAATGCTCGGAAAGGTTATTAGAGATCTTACCTTTTGCTTCAAACGTGGGTAACTGAAGCATTGGTGAGAGGCGAGTCTTTATATAATAAGATTTAAAGGTCTTTCCCTGCTCAAGATAATACGCATATTTGAATAACTAATGACGCACATTTCGCCGTAATTCCATAATAGGACAGTAGATGTAATTTAAGATATCCGCAAACATCAGAATTGTATTGTTGGGCGAACGACGCTACAAATCAGGATAAACTGTACACGAGGGAATTAAAAATTCATCCGAACGCGCCTTTCGTTGTGTCATCATCGTCAATAATAAACGATTTCATGGAAATTTCGTGATTTATCGTGTCGATTATCGCCACTGATTGAAACATTAGCATATACGATCTTACGCAATGGTTTTGTCTCGTGGATGCACGTGGACCGTGTCGGAACATCTGAAGCGTGTAAAATAATCTATGTTTATCGTGAAATTATCTAAATAAACAGCGGAAAATTGAAGTATCTGTTTCAGAATGTAACGGGTTGATGGTTCGCGACAGTGTAATCTTTCCTAAGTTCATGCTACGCTTGTTTTCTTATCTGATTGTTCGTTTACAATGAACATTGTGCAGTATGATTCGTAACAGGTGGAAATTCAGTAACTGAACGCCATCTGATAAGAAAGAAATGTTGCCACCTTTGTTAGAATTAGTTTCTTTTTTCTTGATCTATGCTTCAGGTCGAAGTTTACGTAATCTAGACATATTATCGATTAAATTATGTTGCCGTCTTTGTTAGAATTACTTTTTTTTTCTATGCTCCAGGTCGAAATTTAAATAATCTAGACGTTATCGATTAAATTATGTTGGATGTTTCAATTTAAAATATTTTTAATTGAAAGTAATGATTATGTTGCCATCTTTGTTAGAATTTCTTTCTTCTTTGTTATCTATGCTCCACGTCGAGATTTAGACATTATCGATTAAATTATGTTGCATACTTAATTTAAAATATTTTTAATTGAAAGTAATGATTATGTTGCCATCTTTGTTAGAATTAGTTTCTTTTTCTTGATCTATGCTCCAGATCGAAATTTAAGTAATCCAGACATTGTCGATTACATTATGTTGCATGTTTTTATTGAAAATATTTTTAATTGAAAGTAATGATTAAGCTTGCTATAAACTTCTAGCAAATATAAAGCAGGCTTTGTTGGACTCCATTGCTGATAAATCCATTTGACCAATCTAGGACAAAACGCCAGGTACGACGTACTTTCAATATTTATAAAAGTTAAATTCTTCATTTTGCAGACGGCGAGACATTGGCTTAATTGATCGCTTAAAAACGGAGCCAATAGGGTTTATTTTCACGTTATTGTAAGAATTCTCCGAATAGCAACACGATGAATATAAAATAGTATATGAAGTAACCTCTTCGAGAGCTATTGATGGATTCAAAACAAGTTCTCCCCCCTGTGAAGATTTTTATATGGAATATTAATAATATATTCTCCTCAATTTTCCCTAATTTGTATTCATAAAATTCACTATAAACGCGTAGACGTCCTCACATGGACCATTTCCTTACTTTACGATAATTTCCCATTCTCTACATCCCTTTTAAAGATTTTATTAACCCTTGAAAATGGCACAGAACCACGATAGAGAAAAAAAAGCGAATGTTAATTCGATAAACTCGCGTCAAAGACCGAGAAAGTACAGTTATTTACCCACCCATTCCCATTGGAGATCCGCGGAGCGGAACGAAATACGCTCCTTTTATTCCACGTCCCTTCAATTTCACTGAATTTTCACATATTCACGTTTTCCAAACTCGGCTTGAATAAAACAGTAATTAATTTCGACTTCGTATAATACGCGGTACTATCTGTCATCGAACGAGTAACAACCAGTAAACGAATGAATACAATGGCCGCTGTTATTAATAGACCAGAAAAAGTAACGATCGCGTCGTACAATGAAGTGTTATTAATCTCACCTTAATCTACAATAAATAAGAAGTAATAACACGTAATCATCGGTGATAACAATCGCTACGAGGGAGCCAGTTACGAGAAAGAGTCGACGGCGCTTGTAATCGTCTGCGGTATCGTTACGCGTCAAGGTGAATGTTGACGTCAATCTTTAGATCAGTTAATGTTGCGGAGTAATCCAATTCGTTCCTCGATTCGGTCGGTTAACGTCGTTAACGAGGCCAGATGGGCATTACAACTAATCGGGAATATTAATCACGAGAATATCCGAGATCCCTCAATGAAAGTAGGCTAGCCTTACGTAGTCACATTGTAGACAGTCTTGCTTTACGTAGGTTCGCTTTACGTCATTTCGCTTTACGTAGTGTCGTTTTGTTTAGTCTAAATTTATGTAATTTCACTTCTTGTAATTTTTGGTTTATGTAGTGTTGCTTTCTGTAGTTTAACTTTATGTATTTTCGCTTTACGTAGTCTTGCTTCGTGTAGTTTCGCTTTACGTAGTCTTGCTTTATGTAGTTTCCCTTTAAGTTATCTTGTGTAGTCTAAATTTATGTAATTTCGCTTCCTGTAATTTTTGGGTTATGTAATGTCACTTTTTGTAGTCTAACTTTATGTATTTTCGCTTTACATAGTCTTGCTTTATGTAGTTTCGCTTTACGTAGTCTTGCTTTATGTAGTTTCGCTTTACGTCGTTTGGTTTTACGTAGTGTCGTTTTTTGTAGTCTAGATTTATGTAATTTTACGTTTTGTAGTTTTTGGTTTATTTAGTGTCGCTCTTTGTAGTATAACTTTATGTATTTTCGCTTTACGTAGTCTTGCTTTGCGTATTTTCGCTGTACGTAGTCTTGCTTTGGGTATTTTCGCTTTACGTAGTCTTGCTTTGTATAGAATCGCTTTACGTAGTTTTGCTTTACGTAGTGTCGCTTTTTGTAGTCTAACTTTATATATTTTCACTTTACAAGGTCTCGCTTTGCATACTTTCGCTTTACGTCGTTTTACTTTACCTAGTTTTCATACTATACAACTTTTATCTAACCAGTTTCATTTTACCTGTTATCAAATTCATGCTACTGTGCAATCTAGATATACGTATTCTATACTGTTCTCCGAATTTCGGCCAGAATTCTCGACTGAAATTTGAAAAAATC